CCAAAAAGGCTGGAGAGGTATCCTTGCCTAGTGTTCAAAAAAGGCCCTGGCTGGATTCTTCCATAAAAAAGCTGCAATTAAAGTAACAGATCTGCCTCCCTCTCAAAGCGTGGTCTTAGATCTTTGCTAACTTGCATTTGGGGAGAAGCTGTGCTGTGTACCTGTTGAGGAACTGCAGTTGTTCTTTGGGCCTAGGCACGGAGGGTGGCAAGAGGAGGGAGCACACATTTATCCTTTCTAAAGAGCAGAAGAGAGTAAACAAGAAACGGGCGTTGAAAGAAGAACTTTCTTTTGAACTGTGCAAAAGTTTCCTCCCACATAGCTAAATGGACTCCCAGCTTTGCAACTGCCCCCCTCTTCCTGAATTGCTCCCCCCCCCCATTTCTGGGCTGTCACAGTTTTTCTAACATAGATATGCGAAAGGCAGCAGACTGAAGTGGTGGGGAAGGAGCTGTGCTACGCGATGCGTCTCTCAGCTAAGGCCGTTTAGTATTCAGGAGCAAGGTACATCTTTTTCCTTTTCTGCACAACGGAGTCTCCATGTGCAGCACTCAAGGGTTTTCTACCTATCTGAGTTGAATGGCAGCCATTCACTCGCACAAGAGAAGGTAAAAATGTTCATTCATGGACACTAAGATGGAAATGGGATCCACCTTCTTCCCTGATGTCCTCCATATTCTCGAAGGAACAATTCCTGGCCCCTAACATTCTTGCCAATGGCAGTTTCTTTATTTGTTCCCACAAAACTGAATGGGAGCAACTGAGAACAGTTATGAGCATTGCATATGTCTTCTCTGGGTTCTGTTCCTTGGTCATATAGGATCATGGAAACTGGTTTTTACATATATTGGCTTGGATCCTCTGATGGCATCCATTTCCCATGCACTTCTCTCTGGATACTGCAGAGGTTGTCCTCTGCTGCAGAGCTTGCTTCCTCCGCTGCATGTGGTGCCCAGTTAGGATCAGGACCATGGTGCACGTGGAGAAGGCCCTTCATCCTTCCTATTCTTCATCCTTCCATCCTTCAGCCTTCCTGAGAGCCAGTATACTGTAGTGGTTAGGAGCATGGACTCTAATCTGGGAGAACCAGATTTGATTCCCCACTCCTCTACAAGCTGCTACTGGTGTGACCTTGGGTCAGTCCAGGGCCGTAGCCAGGATTAAATAAGTCGGAGGGCACTGACATCACAAAATAATAAATAAATACAATTTTAAAAACTCACTTTTGCAGCATTCACAGTCTGCTTGCCTATGCAGGGAAGCAAGCTGTGCTTGTGGAAGGGGTGGCGGTGGGGAGTTCTCCAGGTGGCCCAGAGAGTTGGGAGTCTTCCAGGTGGCCCAGAGAGTTGGGGGGCCTGGGGGCTGCATGGAAGTCAGGGGGCCTTGGGAGGAAGTTAGGGGGCCAGGCCCCGAAATGCCCCACTGTAGCTACGGGCCTGGGTCAGTCACAAGTTCTTTCAGAGCTGTTCTCTTAGGAGCAATTCTTGAAAGAGTTCTTTCAGCCCCACCTACCTCACAGGATGTCTGGTGGTGGTGGGGAAGATGGTAAGCTGCTCTGAGTCTCCTTCGGATAGTGTAGGGCGGGGTATAAATCCAATCTCTTCTTCTTCTTCTATTGCACAATTTTCCCAGCTTGAAAAAGTCTGGGGAGGAGAGCATCATTTGCAAAACTCATATGTCCCCTGGGATAAATGAGGGTTTCCCCAACAGGTCCAATAGCAGCCCTCCGCCCGAGATTATGATGACTATTTGGTTAGATAGCTGTCTCTGTTCAGACTCCGTGTGTGTTCTTAATTAGCAGCATATCACGTATGGATCATTTACTTGCTCTGGAGCCATTTGCTTTGCAAATGCCTTGGGACTTTCCCCTTGCTCTTATGGCATTGTGTGGTCTGAGCGGCACAGGTGGATCTGTGGAGACATGGGGCCTAACAAGACACATTGTCCTCATTGGCTTCCTTGGTCTGCACAAAGCAGACGTGTATTGTGAATTCCCAGGCACACAGAGGCCAATGCAGATTGGGAGCACGTCCTATAGGAAGAGTGTCCATAAGATCCCCCACCCATTGTCATTTCCCCAGCCTGAAAAGGCCTCAGGGAGGGTGCTATTTGCACCACTGGGGAAGGGATGGAAAGAGGCTCCCTTGGGCTCTTTCAGGTTGGGAAAACAGTGTGGGAGGGGGATTCTCTCCCTGTGCTCTGCTGTCCCAAACTGATTCAGCCCACGTGTGCCTGGGAAGCAGGTTCCCAGCACAGTACTTGCAACACTCGTTTGATTGCATGGACCCTTGGAGAACACACGGAAAAACACTGTCTGAACGACGATTGGGTGGGGGAGTTACTGGGACGCTACGGGAGAGGGAAGGGAAGAAGCACGCCATACCTACATCACCTCTGGATAGGCACATCAGGGACGTCAAGGATGCTGTACTTATGTCACCCAGAAGTGACGGAGGCACATCAGTGATGTCAGAAGGGGGGACCCTCTGGTTTTTGGGCAAAACTCTATGGTTCAAAGCTTACTCTACCATAGAATTTTGCCCCAAAACCAGAGAGTTGCCTCCGATGTCACCAACATACCTACATCACTTTTGGGTGATGGAGGCACGTCACATTTGGGGTGGTAACTCTCCCCTGCTGGCCAGGTGGCCATCCCTGGGGGGGGAACGCTGGAAACCGGGGGATCCCCAAGCACTGGGGGGGGGACCTGTCAACCCTAGGGAAATGTGATATGAAATATATTATATTTATTTATTATTCATTTATATTTATTTATTATTTTTTAGATTTATAACCCGCCCTCCCCGAAACGGGCTCAGGGTGGCTGACAGATGAGGCACATATGCCAAGATTAATACAATTAAAAACAGAATAAAACAATCATCAATACAATACAATACAATACAATACAATACAATACAATACAATACAATACAATACAATACAATACAATACAAAACACCAGAGACGTTTCCACCGTGCAGTTACGGCGTGTTCAATTAAACATGAATTATATGTTGTCTTTCCTATCCCCTATGAAACATTGTTAGTCCCCTGTCTAAAAGTGTAACTGTAAATCACTTTGAGTGGGGAAAGCGATTAATAAATCGAAAGCATCCTCCTCCTCCTCATTATTATTACAATAAAATGCAGGTGCTCTAGTTGTCACAAAGGTCCTTAGTAACAAGATGGGGTTCTAGTAAAGATGGTCCCAGAACAACAAAGTAACAGTTCCAGACCGCACTGCCATCCATTCTTCATCCCAGGGCCGTCTCGCTCCCCGATGGTACCCACTCCAATTGGTGGTGGTGGTGGTGCGGTGATGATACAGTGGTGGTGGTGGCAGCTCCTACTCAAAAGCATGGCGGAAGAGCTCTGTCTTACAGGCCCTGCAGAACTGCGCAAGGTCCCAAAGGGCCTGGATCTCCTCCGAGAGCTCATTCCACCAGGTAGGAGCTGCCACTGAAAAGGCCCTGGCCCTGGTTGCAGCAACTTTGGTATCTTTGGGGCCTGGAGTTACCAGGAGATGTTGAGTCCCCAACCGTAGTGCCCTTGGGGGAACATATGGGGAAAGGTGGTCCCTCAGGTATGCCAGACCCTGGCCATATAGGTCTTTAAAGGTAAGAACCAGCACTTAGTGGGAAATAGTGGGAAGTGCCGTGAAGTTCCAGCTGGCTTATGGTGACCCTGTTGGATAGTTTGCCATTGCCGTTGTCTGCCTCTGCATAGTAGTGACCCTGGACTTCTCTTTGGTAGTCTCCCATCCAAATATTAACCAGGGTTGACCCTGCTTAGCTTTGCAAGATATGATGAGATTTGGCTATCTGGGGCCATCCAGGTCAAGGTATATGACACGTACTTAGGCCCATAATGGGGCTAGAGGATGGGTCATCCTGCTCTTTGGGGCATGGGTTTGGATAGATGGTTCTTTGGCTTTTCCCAGTTTTCCAGTTCAAGGTTTCAACAAAGAGCAACGTTTCTTCCTGGGGAGGAAAAAAAGGGAATATTAACAACTTGCTGGGGGATAAAGCCCTAATTAATTCTCCCCTTCTCTCTTTGGATAGATTAATTCCAGGAGAAAGTTAACTTGCATGTGGGAATATCCGGAGGCTCTTTGGTACGCCCAGCTGGTCCAGAATGCGCTTTCCAATATTTTGATTGTATCTAGTGCAGCATGCACTCCTACATGTGCTGGGGTCATGGCACCACCCAATCTTAGAAGACCTGGGCAAAAATGGAGGATTATTTCTTTCAAGGAGGTTCAATTTCCCTTCCCTAAGTGAAAAAAAAATTAAAAATGGATGATTCTGTGCAATTATAGATTTACTGGCGTGGTAACATTTTTAGAAAGGAGTGGTTGATGTTTAAAGAAACCGCCTTGTTTACTGAGATATCTGGAGGCAAACAGCCTCTGGGATTTATTTTCCCTTAGTGTGAAGGATAAGATGGAACTCATCCTGCCAGAAGATAGGAATGCTCTCCTTTGGTGGTGGTGACACCCTTAGCTAGAAAAGATATAAATTGAGATCAGCGAGGATGACAACCAAGCACTCTGGTTGAGTGTCAAGCTCTGCAATTCGGCACTCACTTTGGGTTGGTTGTGAATCGCCATTGCTATGAATAGCAGCACTAAATATGCTACAGCAACTCTAGGAAGAAAGAGCACCAGTGCTGGTGCCAATGTGAAGTCCAGGCTTCCTTCAGTCTCTTCCGGCCATGGCAAGAGAGGCAATTTCTCCTGTCACAGTCATGTCGGAAGTAGTTCTGCCTGCAGTCATGGGGTTAGCCAAAGCAACTTTTCGAGTGCCAGTTTTAGCGGTGGGTTTGTCAGTGGGAGCTATGGAAGGAGAATGAGTACAGGAAGTTTCCCTGGAAACAGCTATGGCGGTTACTCTCAGTTGGGATACAGTGATGGCCTCATTGAAGTTGGCGGTGGGATAGTTGGTAGCTTTGTTGGTGGGATGGGCGGCAACCCTGGTGTCTGTGGTGTTGTCTTCTCTTCCGTTGATGGGAAGATGATCATGCAAAACCTCAATGACCGTCTGGCCAGTTACATAGACAAAGTGCGATGCCTGGAGGCTGAAAATGCTGCGCTGGAAATCAAAATTGAAGATTTCTTTGCCCAGCACGGGCCCATTGGTGAGGCAAAGGACTACAGCTGCTATTATCAAGAGATCGAGGAGCTTAAACGCCAGGTAGGGGCATCCTCTTTCAGTCACATTCCAAATACTCCCATTTTGTGCATTTTTTGTTGCTGCATGTAAAAAGATGGAAATTTACAAAGAAAAAGGTGTTGTTCTCATCTTTAAAATGCTGGATTTCATTTTTGTTGTCCCATGTTATTAGTTATTTCTTATATGTGCATGTAAACGTGTAGCATAGAAGATACAGTTTCAGACAAGGCCTGAAGAGATCCTGGTTTACATTAGGAATGCCAAGAACTTGACTGCAAACATGTCCAGATGGGGGAAATAACTGAGCTGGGCTTTGGATCTTTTCCATTCCATTTCCTGCTATCTAAATCGAACAGGTTTGCAGTTGCCCACTAGCTGTGGTGGCAAAGGTTCATTTCCTTGCTTTGCCCTGAGGATGCTTTCGCATCTGCATAATAGCAGAAATCAATTCTCCCGCAGGCTTATGTATGCTTGGGGCAGGTAATTCAGTGTCATTGGAGGGGAACTGTGCCTCCCATAAGGCTGGGTGAAAATGTGCATGCACAATATAACCTTGATAACATGGAGTCAAATGGGAAGCAAACAATAAGTCTTTTTAAAAAATAATGGTTTTTTTAATATATCACTGGCTGACTGATTGATTTGTTCCTCATTGATTTATATAATTGGTGGCCAAGTGGTGCTCTGTGGCAGATCTGTGAGGAAAGTGGGAAACGAGAGCTCTCATCAGGCTGTGTGGAAATGCACAAACGTGAAATACTGCTTGTTGCACTGTACTGCACGGTCTGAATACATGGAAAGGAGCTCAACAAACAGGCTTGAACAGCCTACAAACAGTCAAATGATCAACAGAAAACTGGCTCCCTGTTTGTGACTTGCGAACAGCATTTGAGCAAAACTGGGGTGGGGGAATGTTTGAGCAACCCCGGTTCAAGGCCCCACTTGCTATGAAGGTGGCCAGGTGATCTTGGGCCAGTTGTACTCTTTCAGCCTAACTTACATTACAAGGTTGTTTGAGGATAAAATACAGAAGAGAAGCATGTACATGGGGGAATGTTTGAGCAACCCCGGTTCAAGGCCCCACTTGCTATGAAGGTGGCCAGGTGATCTTGGGCCAGTTGTACTCTTTCAGCCTAACTTACATTACAAGGTTGTTTGAGGATAAAATACAGAGGAGAAGCATGTACAGCAACCCAAGGAAAGTGTTCTCAGGATAGCACTGTAAATGAACCAACCATGTAGGTGGGAGCTGACAGTGTGAGTCTTTCCCATAAAAATGGTGCTGCTCTGGGAATGTGCATGCTTGGTGAAATTCCCTAGAAACTGAATATCCATTGCAGGAAGAGGAATGTGCTGTTGAGTCACAACTTACTCTTGTGGGTTTTGGGGGGCCATCAGGTCACAGCTAAGTTATGGTGATCCCTTAGATTTTTCAAGGCAAGATATTAAGAGACGGGTTGCCATTGCCTGCCCATCTGCAAGGCATTCCAGGCCAGAGATGAACATAGGGGGTTTGCCATTGCCTTCTCCTGTGTAATGATCCCAGTCTTCCTTGGTGGTCTGCCACCCAAGTACTTAACTGTGGCTGACCCTACTGAGCTTCCAAGCTGTAAACAGCTTGGGCTATTCAGGCTGTTATTGTGGGAAAGGCAGTACCTACTGCATTTCTGCCCATCATACAGATTTTAAAATTACAGGAGCTCTGCTGTGGGTGGGGGAGAACAAGGAAAGGTGGCAACACCACTGCAAGAGGTGAACCAATATTAGAGGTAACAGACATCACAAGAAATACAGGGGGAAAGGAGCAAGTTCAAGGATGCCCATGTCTGTTCATTAAAATCAGGGGGTGGATCCAGGAAGACACGACTGTGAGGGGGAGGAAACCCACAAAAATCTAATATGCAGGTGGGCTAGGGTTGCCAACCTCCAGGTGGGGCCTGGAGTTTTCCTAGAATTACAATGGATCTCCAGATTACTGTGATTGGTTCCCCTAAAGAAAATGGTGGCTTCAGAGGGCAGACTTTGTGGTGTACTAATGCCTTACCTGGACAGCCCAGGCTAGCCTGATCTCATCAGGTCTCAGAAGCTAAGCAGTTCTGGGCCTGACTAGTGTTTGGATGAGAGCACTCCAAGCAATACCAGGGGTCGTGATGCGGAGGCAGACAATGGCAAACCGCCTCTGAACATCTCTTACCTTGAAAACTCTAAGGGGTTGCCATAAGTCAGCTGCAACTGGACAGCCCCCCAAACCCCCACAAAAAACACTCTAGGCGAAATAATTCCCCAAATTCCACTCTTGACAGGCACCGCTCCCAAATCCCCAGGAATTTCTTAAGCTGGATTTGGCAACCCTAAGACAGGGTCATAGGACTACTTACTTCAATGAAAATAGCTGACATAATAAAGATCTTCCTCAGATACACATTCTGTAGGACCACACAGTTTGACTTCCCTGGGGGCTATATAGAACTCCTGAACTAGGGAAGACTACCCGCCCCTTCCCTTTCCTGGTTTTTAAATGGAACATCTCCTGAGAGTCCTGCATTTGAACACTACTGCAAGTTACGTTTCTTGAACAGCTTCTATTTTTATTCACTCCTTTGTCCTAGATTATTAACTTTTATGTGGTTTTGTTCTGTATGCTGCCTTTTAATTGATATTTTTTTCACTAGTTTGCACATTAGTTTCCAAAGGTGAGATAGAAATATTCTAATAATTAAATGACATTACATGAATACAAAATCCCTAAGGACTGGGACAAAATATCTCTCCTCAAAGTATTAGATTTAACTTGCATGGAGTTTGTTGTTGTTGTTGTTTTTAACATGTGAGAGAACATTAAAATAAGCAAGTGTTATAGGCTGGTCTTCTGCCTCAGGATTCTACAGTCTACTTCTTCACTGGGCTTTTGAATAGTATAAACTGAAGGCAAATGACAAATGTCCTTCTTAACATCTCTGCTCCCTCTCCAGATTATTTGTGCATCTGTGGAGAACAACAAAATCCTTCTCAAGATAGACAACAACCAGATGAATGTTGAAGACATGAAACAGAAGTTAGTATCAATCCCCCTTTACCAAATAATTAATACCTTTTTCTTTGGAGTTTCAGACACTTATCTGTGGAAAGCTTGGCTTATTTATTCATTTGGACTAAATGACCTGCTTGAAGCATCACAAAACTGAAATAATACCACAAAACTAAACAAGGCATTAAAGGAAGAGGAAGCAGAGTTGGGTGCCCACATAACAAGGAAGGGGACATTGAATGTAATTTGTGTCATTTGCAGAGGTCATTTCGGGGGGGAACGCGGGGGAACACAGTTCCCCCGGGTGAGGTGCAGGGGGGCGGGGCACATGATGAAGCCCCGCTCCCCGCTTCCGGCCGCCCCGCTTCCAGCCCTCATTCAGCCAGGAGGAGGCAGGAGAAAAGGGAGGGTAAGTTGCTTCCTCCCTGCCTCTCCCCACCCCTGCCTGCCTGGGGCCAGGGAGGGCCTTGGCGGGGCTTCCTCGCACTCCCGCTGGCCTTGCAGGTCCACCGCCGGGCCCCTGATGTCAGGGGGTGTGGCATATGCTAATGAGTTATGCTAATGAGTTCCCCTAGCTCTTTTTCTACGAAATGACCCCTGGTCATTTGCATTGCTGCATGAGGTGCTGATTTCAGGCAGAACTGAGTATTAGACGAGACACAGGGCTGCAACTGAAAATGGCAGCACTGAGCCTCATTTTCTCTCCCTAATGCCTAATAAATCAGAATATGTGCCATGAAGCCATCTTGCGTAGTGTTTCGAGAGTATCACATGAAGCAGCCAGTGAAGCAGATCAGGAGCTAAGAAGCCGAAATGTGATAGCCTCCTGGTCATGGAATTTTAAATATAGTAAAACAGGAGTCCAGCAAGACCTTAAAGATGAATGAAATTTATTCTGACAGAAGCTTTTGTGACTCACAGCTCACTTCATCAGATGCACTGGAATTCCCTTCCCTGAGGCTGATGCATTGGTATTAACAAAAGAAAAGCAGGCTGGTGAGGAGAGACTAGACTAGACCGGCTGGGTTAAAACAACAGTCAATAAAAAGAGTGAGTAATCAATTCACTTGGAGTAGGCAATGGCCACCCGCAACTGTTGTTAGACAGGCAAAGTAGATAAACATAAAATCTAGTGCACGATAAGCACCTACAGTAGGAAGTTACAGAACAATATACAAGATATACAACTTGCTGAAACTGAGGGGAAAAGATCTTGGGGTTGTAGTGGACAACTCAATGAAAGTGTCAACCAATGGTCCCTCTAAGCTGTGGAGTCTTGTGAGCAAAAATTCTACTTTGTGAGCTACCAGCATTAAAGTTATGAGTGAGCAATTTGGCTACTGCATAGATTAGTTTGCTCTGGAGACATCCTCCCTGAACTAGGATGGAAATGTGTAAGCCAGAGGCTAAAAAACTATGAGCTAGCTCACACTAACTCAGCTTAGAGGGAACAGTGGTGTCAACTCAGTGTACTGCGGCGGTGAAAAAGGCAAACTCTATGTTAGGGATTTTTAGGAAAAACTTTAAAAGGGGATTAGATAGATTAATGGAGGACAAGTCTATCAATGGATACCAGCCATGGTGACTGAAGGGAACCTCCACATTTAGAGGGACTAAGCCTCTGAATCCCAGAGCCAGGAGGCAACGTCAGGGGAAGGCCTCAGCCTCTGTGTCCTGTTGTTGGTCTTCCAGAGGAACTGGTGGGCCACTGTGTGAGGCAGGATGCTGGGCTAGATGGACAACTGGTCTGATCCAGCAAGGCTCTTATGTTGTTATATTAGCACATATAGTGAGTGATGAATTCTAGGCTCCTGCTAAGACCTGGTGGGTAAATTGTTTTGATATTGTTAATGAAGCCTAATATCCTGTTAGATCCTCTAATAGATTGAAATGAAATAGGATTCATTCATAAGTTCAAGACCACTTACCTACCCCCTCAGGTCTCAACAGGGGCTTGGAATTCAACACTCCCTTTAGGTGCCAGCCACCTTGAGTTTCTGTAAAGTAAACCCTAACCCTAACCCCACATCACCTTTCTATAGTGAATATAAACACATTGATTTAATGAATGTACACTCCAATGCATCTGATAGAGTGAGCTTTGACACATGAATGCTTCTGCTGCAATACATTTTGCTAGTCTTTAAACTGCTAGTGGAGTGGACTCCTGTTTCAGTTTGGTGGTACAGAGTAACATGGCTACCCACCTGGAATTGCATACCAAATGTTATAGAGCAGGGGAGATAAGAGATACAGAAATGCTGGGGTTTTGGCAAAAGCCAAACATCTCTTGCAGTGTCCAGTTCAGTCTGGTTTTGAACTTGTCGACAGAGTGCTAAGTGGAACAGAATGTCAAATCAACACATTCTTTTCTAATACAAATCATACAAAATCCAGTCATTGGTCATTTCTGTCGATAACAAACACCTCCCACTTTTAGTTTGATCTGAACGTTGGCCAGGAATACTTGCCTAACTATGAGGGAATGTGAAATAAAAGGTTGGATCAAACCCAAATTTCTGCTGAGGGGGAGGAAGGGTCCCCACAAGTGTTCCCTCTAAGCTGACTTAGTGTGAGCTAGCTCACAGTTTTTTAGCCTCCAGCTCACACATTTTTGTCTTAGCTCAGGAAGGATGGCTCCAGAGCAAATTAATTTATGCAGTAGCCAAATCACTCACTCACAACTTTAATGCCAGTCGCTCACAAAGTAGAATTTTCGCTCACAGGACTCCACAGCTTAGAGGGAACATTAGCTGGCCACCTGAAAAGGATATGTGGGAATCATGGGACCTGCATGTAGAAAAGCCATGTGGGGACAGAAAGGAAAGGAACTGGGTAAGATTGAGGGGGGAAAAATTGCCTGGATCCAAGTAAAAGTTTCCTTTGGCTATTGATTCTAGGAAAGACACAATATTTGCAAAAAGAGTAATTAAAATCCTGCTCATTGTGCTTTTGTATGTGTTTCTGTGCACATTTACTAAATAAGTGCAGCCAACAGATGTACCCTCTTTAAGTCCTTTCTTGTCAATTTAGGTTTGAGACCGAATATGGCCTTCGTCAGAATGTGGAAGCCGATATTAATGGGTTACAGCCCATTTTGGACCAACTGACTCGCAGTAAATCAGAGTTGGAGGATGAATTTGTATCACTGCAAGAGGAAATTTGTAATCTCAAAAAGTCCCATGAAGAGGTAACCAAAATATTCCCCCTCCTAAAAACAAACAAACAAAAAACCACAATGTAGGCATTATAATCAAAGGAGTTCTTTCTGCAGAAACTGAAGTCTTTCAAAAAACGAACCAGTGAGGTCAATGTCAAACTCAGCTCCTGCCCTGGACAGGATCTGAAGAAAATCCTGGAGGACATGAGATGCAAATATGAAGCAATGATTGACTCGAACCGCAAGGAGGTTGCAGAGTGGTATGAAAACAAGGTAAAGATGGCAGTCCCTTTTTGGCAAAACCAAATAGATGGCGAGCAGAGGTTCTTTCTCACGGTTAGCGAAAGCAGAATAAAGAATGCAGTTAGATTTAAGGTATGCAAATATTGCCTATTTATTCAGGTTGCAGAACCTGGATTTGTGCTTTTTTTATAGAGAAAAAACATTCACAACCCTGGCAATGAACAACTAGAACAGATATCAACATAAGCTCTTTGTTCTCGTGTATCACCACAATTCTATTTCTCTGCACAATTAATAAGTAAATCTTCTGGGCATGGAACAGGGGTCACTGGGGGTGTGTAGGGGGAAAGTATTTGTGAATTTCCTGCATTGTGCAGGGGGTTGGGCTAGATGACCCTGGAGATCCCATCCAACTCTATGATTATATGATTCTAAATACCCGTCCTGAAACTGCAGCTGTCTAGTCAATGTGTTTTGCAGCTTGAGGAGGTGAACCAGGAAGTCTGTACCAGCGGCAAAGAAGTGGAAAATGGCAACCAGAAGGTCATTGATCTGCGAAGCCAGCTGCAAGGCTTAGAGATTGATCTTCAAGCCCAGTGCACTTTGGTAAGTGATGAGGGCCTGATATGTACATTACTGCTTAATCCAGCAATACATGGAAGTTACAGCATTCTCCCATCCCATGACAGCTCAGCTTCCCCCATAGCTTCCACTGGGAATTACAAGTGAGTATTTAGGTGAGACAAAGTACACATGCCCATCAAATGTTAATTGCAGAATTGTGCAGCCTCAATTTACCTCGGTGCAATGGAGGGAAGTAACAACGGTTTTAACCCTGCAACCTCCATTCAGTTTTGCTGTTTGACACTGGGCCCCCTGTACTGCTATTAGCATTGCAAAGGAGAAAAAAATAGCAAAACTGAGTTGAAATTGAAGGGTTCATTGTCTCTCCTGTCTGCATGGCCCCAAGACAAACTGAGGCTGCTCAAGCCTTCAGTATGATGGAGTGACTAAAGCATGTTAATGTCATCTCCTTAAGAGGCAGTAGCTTGCCTTGCATCAAGCCACCAGCTTGATCCCTAGATGAAGATCCCATCTTTCTAACAATCAGCTCTGTTCTCTACGTTGGCTAGTAGAGGATCCACTGAATTTTCTTTTTTTCTTAAACTCGATTAAGGGGCTTGCAGAATAAAGGGCTTATTGCTTTCTTGCCAACAGTGTTATTCTCAGCAGTTACAGACTCCTAAGAGAGGGAGTAAGGAAGGGTCCGCAACAAAAAAGAATGACCCCAGAAAACATTGCAATCTCTGTCTCCCCATCCTTGTCTCCTTGATCTCAAATATCCCCTTTGTTTATGTATCACACCTTAATTTGAGGTTACTGGGATGCTGGATCTATGTGGCCATGCTTGTACAGCATTGATCTGCAGATCCAGAGCCAGATTCCTGTAATGGGGACGACAATCAGCACCTTTCTCTGAGACAAGTGCAGAATGAATTGAAGAAATGGCTTTCTTCCAGTGTTGTTTCTCTCTGCTTTCTGCATTGCTTCTGGCTTGAAAAGCTTTAAGTTTCTCATCCACATACACAGCAGATTTTTGCCTTCTGGCTATTGCTATTGTTGTTTCCCAGAGGGACACGCTGCAAGCCTCGCTAGGTGAGACCGAGTGCCACTACAATGCCCACCTGGCCGAAATACAGGGCCAGATCTTGTGCATGGAGCAGCAGCTGGCGGAGCTGCGCTTGGAGATGGAAGACCAGACCCAAGAATACAACAAACTTCTGAACGTTAAAAACCGGCTGGAGCAAGAGATTGAGACCTACCGCCACCTGATAGAAGGAGGGCAGCAAGACCACGTGTGCGTAGGCTGGAGAGATGAGCCAAAACCTCCCAGGGCAATCTCTCTCTCTCTCTCTCTCTCTACTCTCTCTCTCTCTCTCTCTCTCTCTCTCTCTCTCTCTCTCTCTTGGCCCCTTCCAGAAGGAGTGTTTTTCCTTTGTTTTCCCCACTTCTATCTATGACATCTCCAACTCTTTTAAATATTAAAAATACTATTTAAGATGTAAGGTAGAATGGAAAGGTCTTCCCAGGCTTCTGGCATATGACCTCACTCATTCCACCTTTTCTCTTTGTTAGTTGGAGTCTGCCACAAGTCCATGAACTGTGGGAATGACTTTTCATAGGGCATCTGACATTCACGCTGACTTCCCATACTAGGTAGCAATAGCCCTGTTCATAAGTTATATTTCTGATGCGCCTACCTCACATACTAGAAAAGCACACTATGTACTCTTGCTATGCATGGTCACCATTTCATGTGAACAGGGCAACTTTCAGTTGTGGTATGCGTGTTCGGAAACCCAAGATTGTTGGGGGCACATGTTCCCACATTTCAGAATGTGTCACCCTGCTTACACAAAAAAGTGGCCATGTATAATGAGAGGATTCAACACAGCACGCTCTCCACATTGGATTCTACATAGCATGAGGCACAGGTGCTAAAAATGTGACGTCTGAACAGGGCTGATGCTTTCCTAGAATTTGCCTTTAGCTCACCTTTCTCATGAAGACTGAAGGTGGATTACAAATTACTTGAAAAATTCAGTTGGACAGGGTAGAACAGCCAGTAAAGCATGTAATCAGACTAGGATTATAGTTAGTAAAAAAAGCCATCTAAGGCATGTCCTGCCCTGGTCAGTACTTGGATGGGAGACCAACGAGGAAGTCCAAGGTCACTACACAGAGGCAGGCGCTGGCAAAACCACCTCTGCTCGTCTATTGCCTTGACAACCCTATGGGGTCGCCAGAAATTGGTTGTGACTTGATGCCACTTTCCACCACCACCAAGTCCTGACGTACTGTAATGGGTTACAAAGGTGGAAGACAATGCAATCAAAGCAAGGTGATAACACAGAATACATTACAGTAGGCTACAGTGCTGTTCCTTTGTTAAAACATTCTCCTGAACTATACCATATACTACAGTTCTGACCCCTTTATTAAAATGTCCCCCTGAACATTTCTGTGAAATGTGCAAAAGCAAAGTTTTGATAAAGGTCTATGATGATAATGATGATGAAAAAAAGAAAACTACCCATTGAGCTCACCTGGAGACTTTGGGGGTGGACCCAGGAAAGGGTGGAGTTTGGGGAGGGGAGGGGCCTCAGCAGGGTACAGTGCCATAGAGAGTCCACCCTTCAAAGCAGCCCTTTTCTCCAGGGGGGCTGATCTCTGTCAGCTGGGGATCAGTTGTAAAAGCGGGAGATCTCCAGGCCCCACCTGGAGGCTGGCAACCCTACGTCCAGTACATGCAGTGAGTTTTTTCTGTCATCACTACATGTTACTTGCAGAAATAGAGGAATTCATAGTATGTCATGTTTTTGACCCACACAGTGACTGTCATGACAGATGGGAGGCAAGAATGAGGACTGGAAATTTGCCACTGGGATTCTGCAGATGCCTGATTGTATTGTGCAACCCAGATATAATAATTTCGATACTGTAATATACTCAGCTCAGACTGCGTGGCCTGCTTGGGCTCCACACGGTCAAGCGGCAACATCGAGCTTCGCTCAAAAAGACAATGGACTATGCGGATCCTAGCCCGCACCAATCAGGGGGCTGGTTCCCGGCCGAGAGCCTATGGAACTCTCGGCCACTGTAAATAACCTATTGGGAAGTAGGGGTGTGTTATGGGTGGCAGTTTCATGGGAATGTAAGCTGGCCTGCGAGCCGGCTAAAGTCATCTTGTTCCTGATCGAATAAAGTACGCTTAGCTGAAATCACTCTCCGTCTGCGTACTTTTCAGATACCATATCCATTCATGCTGTAAAGGCTAGGTAATGCTGCTAGCAGACCCTGCACATGCCTGGACATGCCATTTATAGTCTACCCCACTGGCCATACATTCCTGCCCTCATCAACCATATCCAGATTCATAATGAGTTTTGGGGAGCCTGTACCCCAAAGTGTGCCAAACTCTATCATGTCTGAACCTTTTCTGGTAAGAGCTGTGATAACTTTTTAAGATAAGCTTGTTTAGTTCCACAAATTATGGAAAGTCAAAGCAGGTTAGATGAATATTGGTAAAATCCAGTCTGACGACTTTCTTGAGAAGGAAGCTAAAGGTAACATGGCAGGACCTACAGTCAGTAAAGATCAGCTGGCAGAGAGACCGGATACTTGGCCTATGTAAAGACATTTTATGTCATTAATCTGAACCTTCTCGTTTTTCACAGAGGAGGAGGAGGAGCAGGATTCACTCACCCATCTTCAGCTGGGAGCACAGGAGGAACAAGTTCTCAGTCTACAAAACGCCAGTCAAGCCAAGTCACACGCCGCCATTAGTCATGCCTGCCTAAGAATGTACCAGGTGACGCACACATTATGATATAACATCATTGTGTCATTACTCTGTCCATCTGGAAGATTCAGTCAGATCTCTGCTATACTTAAGTTTCTAAAAATAGACGTGTTTGCACCGTGAAACATTACCATCTAACCTTAACAACCTGCCTCCTAATTCTTGATTTCATGTGAAATGTGGGATTTTGTGTCCATTTCTGCTTTGGCTAAACACAAAAGAGGTGTGTGTGTGATTTGCACAAAACATTGTTATTGGCATGGAAAGGAGCCCCTTCTTTGGTCCGTTTTCCTGGCTTTCCACAAACCATGAGAAATGGAATTATTCAATAGGGCTTTTTTGCACAGGTGAATAGGACTGTACTGCAATGAAAAAGGTAAAGGGATAGGGCATGTGGCCTGTACTACTGTATTGCTGCCTGTCATAGTAAGTATGCTCCAGACTAAGTAGTTTCTGCACTATTTAACATGTCACATTTAAATACTTATGCTTTATTTCAAGTTTATTTCAGCTCTGTTTGATTTCACATTCCTGTCGTCCAAACCCTATTTCTTGGATGTCCCATCCTTTTGATGGTGTCCTATCCTTTTGATGGTGCTTGACTTACACTATAATCAGCCTTGGGCCTGAGCAAGAAAAGCGGACTGTAAATAATCTGAATGAGAAATAAAATAGAAAGTACGTCCCCATTCCCTTCCCACCCCCAGTCTCCCCCCGGGTGGATTGGTGAGAGCTGCTCAAAGGAGATAGTAGAGCACAGTTCTTTTGCCGTCTCTCCTGCCAGCACTTCTCCTGGTGGGAAACGGGAGATCAGTCTGAAAAGGGGAAGTGGACAAAGAATCCCCAGTTATCGATGGACACTTTGCCAGGCTGTGGTCCTTGGAAAGTGCTGTCAGGTCAGCCCCTTCTCCTGTTCTAGATACCAGACAGCAACTCTAAAATTGCCTCTGGGGTATCGATTCATGCTGGGGTGGCACCTGGAGATCTCCCACTATTACAGTTGATCTACAGACAATCAAGATCAGCTCCCCTGGAGAGAATGTCTGCTTTGGAGGGTGGACTCTAAGGCACTGTCCCCTACTGAGGTCCCTCCCCTTCCCAGACCCAGCCCTCCCCAGGCTCCACTTCCAAAATCTCCAGACATTTCCCAATGCAGAGCTGGCAACCCTGGCTATTTCTTTTGGCGAATTGAGTCCAGGTGTCCTGGATTTTCGGGTTTTCCAGACCTGACTTGACAAAAAAGTACCATGCAGTTTGGCTCAGAGGCTACAGACTTTTTCCTGTTTAGGCAATTCCTATTCTCTCTCTCTCTCTCTCTCTCTCTCTCTCTCTCTCTCTCCCTCTCTCTCTCTCTCTCTCTCTCAACAGAGTACTGCAGAAGAATATAGAGTCCTGCTGCAGAAAAGCATCTGACTGAGCACGGCACTCACACACGTTTTCTAGTTCACAGCTCCCTGGAAGCCACTCAGAGAAAATGGAGAGCATGGATTTTTACCCTTTGCTCCTAGTTTTAGCCCTCACTCAAACGTCCGATAGGCAGCTGTGTAGCATCCTGTCCTAAGGCCGCTCAGGGGCCTCCCTCCCCTGCCTCCTTTTGCTCCTGGCAAGTTCCTTGCTTTTCGCTAACGCAAACACCTTCATCCAGGAACTCTGTCCCGCAGTTGGTTTACTAACCCATTTATGTCTAATAAAGGCTTTGCTGGTTGCAACTGAGTGCCAAAGGGTCTGGCAATGTGAAGCTGACAGCTGACGTACGAGACACCCCATTTAATAGGCGTTGCACAATGTGAAGTTGGATCGCCCTATGCTTTGGCTGAAGTCCTCCTGCAAGACATCCTTATAAAACTGTCATGGGCAAGGCTAGCTCCCATGTGCTGAATTTATGAGGCAATAATTATGACTGTGATGATGATGTACAGGCAGCCCTTGGGATGTGGAGCAGGCGCGTACAAGACAAGCCTTGCATCCCATGAGTGTCCATCCAACGGCAGGTGATCCAAGGGGAACTCTGCATCTTCTCAGCTCCTGGGCATGCCTTGGGTCCTTCTAAACAGGTCACTGCAGTTTCAGCAGCCCTCCCTGCAAGAGTCTGTTTGGCTACCAGCTAGGCAGCTGAGCACTCCGGCAACTACATCCATCTCAGCTTATGGGCTTCATCCGCCTAGGGCTGCCGGGTCTGACTCAGGAAATATCTGGGGGCTTTGGGGGTGGAGCCTGGAGCAAGGATGTGACATCACTTTTGTGATGTCACATCCTGTGATGTCACTTCCAGGTCCAAACCCACCCCCCATCCAGAAGGTTCCTGTGATTCCATGGTAGGAGCTTGGGCTTCTAACACAGTGGTTGTTCTCTACTCATTCTCCACCCAAGCCACACACACTGCTACCATGTAGGGTTACCATGTGAGACTGACAAGCTGGGCAGGGGACTTTCCAGGAACCTCCGGAAGGGGGGAGGGAAGAAGCATGATTGAACTCCAGAGGGAGTTCTGGCCATCACATTTAAAGGGACTGTGTTCCTTTTAATTGCCTTCCCTCCATTGGAAACAATGGAGGACAGGGGCACCTTCTGTTGCAACTCATAGAATTGGACCCCCTGGTCCAATCTTTTTGAAACTTGGGGTTGGGGGGCTTTTTTTAGGAGAGGCACCAGATGCTATGCTGAAAATTTGGTGCCTATACCTCAAAAAACAGCCCCCTAAGAGCCTCAGATACCCACAGATTGATTTTCTATTATGCCCTATGGGGACCAATCTCCATATGGTATAATGGAGTGCCCAGTGGACATTCCCCCCTAGTTTCTGATTACCCTGAAGTGGGGTGAGGGCCTCCAAATCAGGAATCCCCTGCCCCCACCTGGGGATTGGCAGCCCTACATCTCCCTGGCTGCAGAGAAGAGGTATTGCTTCCTTGCATATCCAGGGATCCTAGCTCAGTTGCTGGCATCTTCCTTTCATGGTGCAGAACTGGGAAAAACCTCTACTTAACTCCCCGTGTCCTGCTCACCCTCCAAGGACCTCAGAGTAGTACACATGGATTGAGTAAATGCCATTTTCCCCTCTCACAAACAATCCCGTGAGTTAAGTTAGGTAAGAATGACTGGCTCAAAGCTACCCCATGAGCAGGAACATGAAGCTACATCTGTGTCCAACTCCTAAACCTCTACAGCACTTGGGCTTAAGGCCTTAGAGAGCTGCTCTTGCTCAGGGTAGACACTGTGGGGAGCTCAGTGCACTAGTGGTTTGGTTTGATTCAGTATTTCAGCTTCTTATATCTTGCCAGCTCAAGGGGCAATGTAGGACCTCAGCTAACCCTACATGGAGTCTTCCATTCTAGACTCTCCCGTTCCTCCTGGACAGGCTGAAGCCGGGAAGAATCTGGAAAGTCACGGATGGAACCAGGCCAGAATCTTGGCAGGTTATGAATGAAGTTTGGCAGAATCTGACGTGTGCAGGGTTTTCATACTCCAGCACTCATTTGCCAAGAGAACAGGGTTTTAGTGGCCAAACCATCACCATACTGGTTTGCTGGTAGGGCTGCCAGCTCTGGGTTGAGAAATACCTGGAGATTTTTTTTTGGGGGGGGGAGCCTGGGGAGGGTGGGGCTTGGGCAGGGGAGGGACCTCAGCAGGGCACAGTGCCATTGAGTCCACCCTCCAAAGCGGCCATTTTCTCCAGGGGAACTGACCTTTGTTGTCTGGGGATCATTTGCAATAGCTGGAGGTTAGCAATCCTATGGCAACTCCACTTTTTCTTGCCTCCTACACCCCACGGCCACAAAACCGCATCCTGCTTTACTATGATTTACAGCCACATGTTTTTAAAAGGTTCAACATTTTAGAAGCTGTGCTTACCTAAACAGAAAGTCCCTACGTTGGGGTCAGAAGCCCATTTGAGGAAATATCTTCAAGGTCTTTTACTCCCTGTTTTGTGGAGGGAAATAGCATCTTTTGTAAGACTGAGAGAAATTATAACTGGTTTGGAGAAACTTGAAAGGAGCCGGATTTGAGCTTAGTGTATGTAGGGTTCTCAACAGTTTGATATCAGCTTACTACACAACTCATGCACCCACACACAACACTTCTGAACCTTTCTGACTGTATGTGAACCAAGAAAGTTCACAGTGTTGCCACCAAATGGTGGAGAAGCAGAAAAGCAAAGAGAGGAACCAGCAGTATTTTTAGATGAGGGGTTTGTGTGTCAAAATTTGAAAATGCATCCCCTCAGACTTCAAGTCTAAAATTCAAGACTACAGTGATAAATGCATGGTAAACAAAAACTACAGTGACATATTTTAATGTTCTGTACCTAGGGTTGCCAATCTCCAGGTGGGGCCTGGCACTCTGCTATTATAGTTTATCTCCAGACAACCAAGATCAGTTCCCCTGGATAAAATGGCTGCTTTGGACGGTGGCCTCAGTGGCAATGCATCCTGCGGAGGTCCTTCCCCTGCCCAAACCCCGCCCTTCCCAGGCTCAACCCCCTCAAGTATCCTGGTATTTCCCAACCCAGAGCTGGCAATCCCATTTACACCCTAGCAACACCCAAAACTGTGGGGTTTACTTTCATATTTGAGTATTTTCCTAAGGATACCCCCTACCATCACAAGAATACATCCATCTTGTTACAGCCACAGGAGTCCTGAACTTCAGAGACTCATAGAAAACTATGGGAGGCCCAAGAGGAAGGGACAGGCATTGGTGTGTGACATACGAACCAGAATAAATGAAGACAAATTCCTTGTGATGACTGAATTTACCTTTCTACTGGAGACTTGTAACATTTCTGCAACTGTCTTGTGTCCATTCATGAGGCATATCCAGCACCAACTTTACCTATGTGTCAGGTTGAAAATGAATTCCCTCTGCTACCAGAAAAGAAAAGAAAAGAAGGAAAAGGGTACAACACTTTAGTGGCAAACATCTTAAAAGGAAATGTTTATTAAAGACTTGTGATGAGACGATACCATCATTTAAAAAATCGCAGTCCTAACATTTTCTGTACTGTAATGAATACAGGAATTAATGAAATATTTTAAAATGGATTTAAAATTCAATGTGTCTCTCTCCCTCTCAAACATACAAACAGACATTAGACACCCACATTCTTTATTCTCCTGTACTAATTACTTCCATATGATTAGCTGCCTAAAACATCAAAGACAGGGGAAACGTATTCATCCAAG